AATGAGCAGCATATCATCCAAGACTTTAAAAGAGATGGAGAGGCTTTGCTTCTTTGACTCTTTCTTGTTTATTTATACCAAGCAATAAGATCCATTTCTTTGGGAGGGGACCGATCGAGCTGGAACAGATGAAATCATAGGAAAGACGGATGATTGTTGAACTGGCATGGAAGATTGTTGATCTGTAAATGTCTCAAAAGGATTTGAAATGAAAGTACTAGGCTTTTCCAAAAGCTGCAGGATTTGCTTGGCTCTGGAAGTTTACCTCTGTCTTTTAAATGAGAAATTTGAGTTTTAAAAAAGAAATTTCGGTCATGGAATGAAAATATGAGACACCAGGTTCAGGCAAATCATACTTGATAGTAGCCAGTCGATACTCGAAAGCAGAGATAAGATCTCTAACCAGCTTTGAGTGTTGGGTTACCTTTTCATGGACATTGTCTAGCTTGGAATGAACTTTAGACACAGATTCATTGATTTAAACCAACAGCTTATTCTGTACCAAAGCATTCTCTGAGTTAAGGAAATTTTCATGCTTAGGAGAGCAGGCATCTTTTTCAAAAAGGTAAACACGCGCTTTAATCACCATAGAATAGATCGAGGGAGGTTCGAACTCCCATTGCTTGCTTGTCAGGCTAGATTCAATCCGATCTTGTTTGACTGCTTATATACAAAAGAGGTTAACTCTTCAAAATAGCCTAGAAAATGACAGCCATCAAAAGGCCTAAGCCCATATAGCCTCGGCCTGCCCAAATGATGTTCAGCGGTCTCTACCCAAGTAGCTGTGGCCCATGATCCAAAGGACCCGCAACCAGTCAATCATGCTATCCTTACCTTTCAACCAACCCCTTCGATTCCGCTTCAGCAGCAGTATATAATATCGGTCCCTTACCTTGATGCCTACAGCTCAATTTGTTTTCCAGTGATGGCAAGAATCCGCGAAATACTGCTTTTTCTTCTTCTTGTGTTGTTTCTGAATGGCATCATAGCTACACGAGGGAAAGCGATGCTGCCCACTCTGCCGCAAAAGGGGGGCCTTCCCCAAAAAATCCCAGTTCCACCATCAGGGCCCAGCAAGCAGCATAATTCTGTTCCGAGGCTGCCTTTCATTCCAGCAACAGTAGTATATGGTTCAAAACGCCTTGTTCCATCCGGCGCGAATCCTCCATCACTAGTAAAGTGGAGGTGTTATTTGTATTGCAATAATGAATAAATGTACGAACACAAATAATGAGCAGACCTGCCCACGTTTATATGTGGCTTCTTTAGAATGGTTTTTCTCGTACTGTGTAAACGAACTTCTTGCTCTTGTTTGGCGCTTCTATTTCTATATGGAATCTTCTTCTTACTGACCGACTAGCTGACAGGAAGCGAACTAATTCCGCGAGAACGATAGCCAGAGGAAAGTAAGTTCCTATTGCCTCTATATCTTTACTAAAAAAAAGGGTGGAACGAACGGACGAACCGCCTCGCTTCCCCTCCTTAGGTGTAGAGTCGATTCCTCTCCTTCTATCAGAGAAATGAAGTGAGAGGGACGAGAGCTGTTTTCGGAATGAAGAGGCCTGGAGCAGACCTCCTCTTCTTTGTAGGGCTTGCAATCGGTCTTGTCGCTCGTTCATGTCATTCTGCTGGTCTAGGAGTGGCTCCCTGCTCCCTTCTCTTATGGCGCAACTAGACCAGAACGAGCTAGCTGATAGAGCTCTTATGCCTACTTCTACAAGTACGGTTTCAAAGAAATTTTGGCATGGGACCTAAGTCACTCCGTTCTGGCCTAATTGTATTAGCTCTAGCCGTAGCGCTTTCTGTTATGATTCCAAGTCTTGCTTCCACTCGTGTTAGTTTCAATGCTTTTTGCTTTATACGTAAGTTTGGCTTGGCCCATTGGCTACGTATGGCTAATGAACTCCTCGCTTTAGTCCGTTCTTTTCCTTCTGGTCGATAGTCGCCGTTCCCGCCGATCGGGAAAGGCATATCATAAAGGGACGTTCAACGTAATTCTATAAGAGCGTTACCAAAATCCGAGTCTTGGCAGTTAAAGTGAAAGTTTATTAGACTAGTACCACTAAGATGGCGGGGAAACTTACTTCCGAGAGAGATGGTAGTGAGGCAATGAATATTGTTAGTTCCAAGTCTTCGATGTCCTCGGAGACTGACAAGAGTCAGAATGGGTACTAACCTAGTAGTAGAATTTTATTGATGATGAGCGGGCAAAAGCCCCCAGATCCCCCGGTTTGTGAGCCGGGTTCCCCCCCTCTTTTTTCTTAGCACGAGAATACACGGTAGGAAAAAGCTTCTCGGTCATAGGGGAGTTCAGAAATAATCTCGATGATGAAACATTTTTGTATTTCTACATGTGATTCACTGCCGAAAGCTCCTTCTTGTACGCTAGCACTTTGGTTCGGCTACCTTTTCGTCGTGGCACACATATAGTAAGATTCTCAAACCTCTTCTGATAGGGCTAGGCTCCGCTCTCGCTCAATGATCTAAGACTAATGTACTGGACTGCTAGCGCACTGCTTGGTACCCTAATAGTTTACTAAAAGGATTCCCTAATCTCTGTCCTGTTGGTCTAATCCGACGGATATGTGCTACCATTCATAAAGGGCTATTCGATAGCTGCTGATTCGAGAACAAGGATTCATTGTGCAGCTGAGTCAATAGGGAGCCGTGCCGGTTGGGGGAAGCGAGGATGGTATTTGTAATGCCCGAACCTGGGCACAGGCCCTTTCTTTACGCAAATACAAGTGCAACTTGTTCCGAGGGGCTCTGTGAAGTCAAGATGAATATGCACGAGCTAGCACTCGGATTAGGAAAACTGGAAACCTAAACCTTCTTTTATGTCCGGTGAACTTTGGGATGGGTAAGAGCCCCGAAGCGCTACCTGCAG